GGTTCACTTATGAAGGTTTATTACAAAAATAATTTGAACGAGATTATTTGGAAAGTTCTAACTAAAAATAAATAATTTGTAACACAAATATAAATTTTATGACTTATTATGGCTACAAAAAAAACGCATATACGATTCTCAATAAATTTTCAATAGACACGGGTCATTGGAAGAGGTTTACACAAGATAAATTTGAACTGAATCATTTGAAAAGGCCTAATTAAAAATAAATAATATTTAATTAAAATATAAAATGTATGATTTTTTTATATCTATATGAAATGCATATATGATTTGTTTTAACTAATAGATATACTCAATAATATTGCAATAAATAGAACCACATGGGAAGGCTTTACTGCAACATGAATTGGAACGAGATGATTTGAAAAGGTCCAACTAAAAAAAAATAAATTTAATAAAAATATAAGATGTATGATTTTATGGATATATAAAATGAATGTCTGATTTGTTTAAATTACTAAATATGCTCAATAGTACTTCGAACGTGGTCATTTGGCAAGGGTTTATTAAAAAGCAAAAAGTGCTTTTACACTATAATTCTACACCACTTCCTACATTATTTACCAAATTTTGACATGTGGCCTCAACGGGTTCATCCAAGGCGGGGTTAGGGCGTTAGAAAAAGTTTTAAAGAAAGAAAGTAATACTTAAGTAGAAAAATATAAAAATATTATAGAGTGGGTTTGTGACGACCCCGAAATTCAATTTCAAATTAAAACGAGCTTAAAACTTTCTCGGGCCGCCCGCCGAGTGATCTACTCAAGGCTTCAATGAAACATAAATAAGTTACAATATATCTTCAATGAAAGGGCTATCTTGGCACCTACCGACGATGAGGTTGATGCTATTCATGATCACATGTTGTCACTCCTAGCAGGCGAGACAACGCTGTATTGTAGTTCGGATTGCATAGACAATACCACAAGGTCAGTAAACTCGGTCGATGATGCAGTTTATATGTCAGAATTCGTCAACTCCATAAAATGTTAGGGAATACCAAACCAGAAAATAACCCTAAAATTCGGAGTTCCAATAATGCTTCTTGGAAACCTTGATCAACCAGGAGGATTATGTAATGGTACAAGGCTCCAAGTCAATGATTTGGGACAACGGGTTATTCAGGCGACAATCATATTAGGAGCTAATATTGGGAAAAAATGTTTCACTCCCCATATAGATATTAATCCCATTGATGAGATGATGAAAATTAAACTGAAGAGGAGACAATTTCCAATTGCATGATTTGCTATGACAACAAATAAGAGTCAGGCACAATCTCTGTCTGAAGTCGAATTTTTTTTGCGCCGTCCAGTTTTTACTCATGGGCAACTGTACGTCGCTTTTTCAAGAGTAAAATCCAGAAAAGATCTTAAAATCCTTATTTGTACCAAGGATGGAGAATTCACAATCGGACTGCAAATGTGGTTTACAAAGAAGTCTTAGAAAATATATAATTCGTGATATGTTGCTTTTAGAAGTATTGCTTTTTTCTAATACATTTTTTAATAATGGCACAAATACTTTGTATTTTTATATACACTTAGTTTTGTCTGTTTTATCTTAATTATAAACAAAACTAATATTTGTTATACACCTTCGTTTTTATTCTTATATATTGAAATTATATACTCATATTTAACGTAAAAAAAATATAGAATAATTTAATTCTAATTTGCTCACTATGCAAAGCACGGGTAAAACACTAGTAGCTTAAAATGTCAAATTGTGGCTCATTCAAAACGCACAACAAATATGACAATCACACAAGTTTGCGGCAATCATGCATAGACAGGGTTCTCTTCCTTTTTTCGAAAGAGTCCCACGAACCAGATTAAGAAGGTTCTTACGTTGTACCGCTTTCTCCCATAAAACCGTTGTGACCATTTCAAAAATTCACATAACTCAGCATCAAAGGAGATCATTGTTCAAGAAAGAACCAAAAGATAATACTTATCTTGTCTCAAAATTATTGTCCAATTTAGATATTTTAAACTAAAAGTGAAAATCCAAACTACACAATAATTTTGTAGTAGAGAAAAAAAAAGTTGTATGGGTACCTTTAGGAAAGAATAAACGATATCATTGTTGCTTGAGTGATAGCACACATTCCGGCAGAGGATCAAGTCTCATCCATATCATATATTATGAAGATGCACTGCTGTAGTAATACTTCCCTAGCAGCAAACCAACTTAAACGCATAAAAAAACTAACAAAAAAAAAAAGTAACACCAAATGTTTAAGTATCAGCAATTCACATACAAATTCTACGCTTCTAGTTTGTTGGGATTTTTTTTTTGTGCAAAAAAGGTTCTTGGAAAATTTGTATGCAAGAACATTTCCCATTGACTTTTTGTTTTCATAAAAATAAAAAAATATACCCCAGCGAATGCCACTTAAATGTGAGTAAAGTACCCCTTATACATTCTTAGTTGGAATTAAACCCATGTCTAATACTTGGAACCTTCTCGTCAACTTTATTTTCTTAATTTCTACATATGAATACTCTCGGAAATTTTTTTAAAAAATTTAACTATTCCATTTATACATTGTTGGGACAAAGAATATGATATCGCAATCTTGAAGGAGCGGACATGTTTATAAGCACCTTGTGTTGGTTTTATATCCTAAAGGCAATCAGTAATAATCATGTTATTTTTTAAAGACAATCAATTAAAAAAGGTTATAGTTTATATTTATTACCGACATGATTAAGAATCTATAGGGTCACTCATGAATGATTTAATTGTTGAGATTATTAATTTTTAAGATAAGTTATACTTTAGGGGCTTATTAATAATTTTTACTTAATAACAAGCTAGTCCAGACATAAGTCTTGTGCTATAAGTCGCATAATTACCAAATAAGGGAAGCTCTTCTGCGTAGGGATGTAAACGAGCCGAGTCGAGCCCGAATTTATCCATATTCGAGCTCAGCTCGAGTAATTTTTAACCTAACTCGAGCTGGGCTCGGTCTCTTAACAAGAATCTCGAACTCGACTTGTAACTAGAAATAAATATATATATATATATATATTTATTTTTTTAAAAAAAAAAGACTGGCCCATTTAGATCGACAAGCCAACGAGCGAGTATTGTTTAAACGCGAACTCGGCTTGTAATTTTTAGAAACTAGCTCGAGCTCGGTTCGGGCTCGATCAACCTTGAACTCAAGCCGAGTTTTGACCAAGCCAGCTCGCGAGTGACTATATTCGTTTACAGCCCTACTTCTGCGTCTATGGAGGTACGGAAGTGAAAAACTAACTGTGCAAGAGCAACCGTTTATTTTGTTGGAGTGGGGTATTGAAGCCTTCATTATATCTACTTGAGAGAAAAGATAGTTTTACTGCTAAACAAACAAAATATATTTGTGGGCAAAATAAATAATTTATATTAGTAAAAGACAGGAAGATGGAAAAAAAAAAAAAAAAGATGGAAGAAGGAATTGTCGGCAACAGAGACGGAGACTGGGGGTGGCCAGCCGGTGCTGCGACACCCCCTCCGATTTTAATTTTTTATAATAATATTGTATGATTACTAGATTAAAAAAATATAATATGTTCATTTTTGAACCCAATCTAAAAAATGAATATTAATAGTTATACCTCTTCTTATCAATTAATTTATGTACAAAATTATCTAACGATTCTTTTTCAACTCAATTAATATTTGTAAATCTTATAGCAGAACTTTACATATAAATATTAGCAACTGTCCTCCTTTCTAGATAACAATGATGTAAACTTTATTAAATATATGATAAAAAGATTTTACGCCAAGATACAAATTAAACATTTGAGATTGAAGTTAAGACCTAAATTCACGAAAAACAAAAGCCCAAAGGTTTATAATAAGCTTTAAAATTTAACAAAAAGCTTAAAATAGCTAAATGTATCCATCCGTTAAAACCTTGTTTCCTCAAATAAGAAGAACTAGATGCTTGGATCTGCCTGGGCGCCCCTCTACTTTAAATTTGTGTTAATAGATAAATAAATTTTTGATTTGAAAAAAATAAAATAGCAACACATTTTGTTTTTTTTTTCTTTTTTTAGCAAAAATAAAAATAAAAATAAAAAATCATTTGCCAAAGGAAGAAAAATATTGAAAAGTACAACGATGCATAAATCATACAAAAGAATGTGGAGTAATAAAGGGGATAAGTTTATGGACAAATTTAAATGCTATTTTAATTTGATTGATAAATGATAAATGTTAGGAGTTAAAATTGTGTAACTATTTTTGTAAAGTAACTTTTGTTTCTCCGGATAAGAATTTTTTTCTTTTAAAAAGGAGATGACACGTGGCAGAATGGTTAATGCAATATGGTGCATTTGAAGCCAAAAAGTTTTAATAAGAAGTTGCCACATCAACATCCTGTATTCTGCTTTAATAGGGTAAAAGGGATTATCAATTCAAGTAAATTATAGAAATAACTTTTTAATTGGTTTTATTTTGTAACAAGTAAAATAGTAGAGATATGTTTTTTTCTTTCATCTTTACATACGAAAATTTTCAAATTATATTTTTTTGTTTGTTTTAAAATTACCCTTATGAAATACGTCTATAAAAAAATAAATTCAAACACATACGTCATAATCTTATGACTTCTAGTTGCAAAATATGTAAAATACTAATGAAGTGGTTCTAAATGGTTGGTAATAGGTTTTGATTGAGAAAAAAAAAGTGTATTTCAGTGTGTATATGTATCACTGTCGACTTGAAACTTTTCGATGCATCATATTCTAAGTTAATAAGGGGTGTTGATCAATGTTTATTCGAGGAAAAATAGAAGAATTGTTTAACCAGCCAAAAGAAATAAAAGAATTATTATTCTTTACGAATCTTCCTTTTCATCCTTCTTTTTCAAAATGGATAGTTAATTCTTTGATTCTTTTCCCGGGAACATTTAACTTTTTATTGACTAATTACTGAAAGTTATACTTTGCGTCAGTTTCAAGCGAATCTTGGATGGTATTGATGTGATTGATCATTTCCCACAACGTAATCATTTTCTTATATAAATTCAGCCGTACACATTGGATGTATGCACACATATGAACTAAATTACCTATCCGAACTTATAAAATTTTCAGATTTAGGTATAAAAATTGTCAATAAAATGAATCGTGCCTCAAATGGTAGTTATCACAACTTTCCGAGGGACTTAACCATTGTTTTAGTTGGCAGCGCTGGCAGTGGAAAAACTGCTACTGGAAATTCAATCCTTGAACGAAAAGCATTTCCATCAAGCTCTGCGCGCGAATCCACCGTGTTAGAAGATGGGAGAGTTCTCAACGTGATTGATACGCCAGGTAATGCAACTATTTTTAGCGACAATTTCTATTCCAATTACCGGAATTATTATTACTTATTTATTTTCAGTTAATTATTGCTGGACAATTTCTAGTCAAGTTAGCGGTACAAAATAAGTAAACGTGAAGAGTTCATTTACTTATTTGATGCTATCAATACAGGCCTGTTCGATTCTACTATTAAACGTGAAGATGCCGAGAACGAGATTGTCAGAGGCATCAAAATGGCTAAAGATGGCATCCACGCGCTTCTTTTGGTTGTGTCACTGAGAGTTCGATTTACTGAGGAACAAGTTGCAACTGTTGAGACCTTGAAGCACTTGTTCGGAAACAGAATTTTTGATTACATGATTGTAACTTTTACTGGGGGTGATGAATTGGAAGAAGATCAAACAATTGATGAGTACTTGGCCTATTCATGCCCTCCAGCTTTAAAGGTAATTTATTTCCTCCTTTTATTCCCAAAAAAAACATAATAATAGTAACAATAGAAACAGTCTAACGGTAAGTCAATTTTGTGGCCATAGACATTTGATTTATTTTCTTGATATGTAAGTAATGGTCATTTATATATTTATTTTTGAGTTGATCTTTGAAATTGAACCCGTCGTAAAATAAAAGTCAGTCACAAAGGAACTTACTGTTTGGCCCCTCTCAATGTGGGAAATATAGGACCTCCTGGAAAAGTGTGGCAACAGAAAAGTAGTGTTTAATAATAGGACAAAGGATAAGGAGACAAAGGCTGAGCAACGCCGACAACTTCTTACTCTCATTGCAAACATTCTGGTGAAAACTGGTGGAAAGCCCTACACACATGAGGTTCTTAATCAACTCAAGGTCTGGCCTTCATATGTAATTGGCTTTTGAAATTTACGTCTGAGTTTAATTTAAGAAACTATATTTCAGATTTTGAACGTGAGAGGTTGGAAATTGAAATTATTAAGCAAATGGAATAGATGAAATATCTCTGCTGATTAATGGTAAAAAAAAAAGAAAAGAATAGATGAAATATACTCTTTTCATTTATCAATTTTATCACAATTGTTAGAATGTTATATACAAATTTTGTAAGGCATAATTCGGACTTTCTCATTGTTGAAATTAGATTATTTTTGTGGGATGACAGAAGTATTATTTAAAGAACCAAAAAATTTAGTGCTTGATCAAATTTTGCTTATACTAATTGGCAGAATGAAGCTGCTGAAAGGGATTCGAGGAACCCAAAACAGAAAATAAATAAATCTCCAGATGAGGAGGAGGTTCAGCAACGCATTGCTAAAATGGTATAAATCACTTAAGAAGTTTATTTTTTCTTTTTTTTTCCTGTTTGTTTTTTTATGCCAATGTGATTGTTTTAATTTTACTCCCTTTGTCTAAAAAATTTACTCTATTTTACTGCACCCCTATTCTTTAACAAAATAGATTATATTTTTACAAGTTAAAATAAACCTTGCTTGGTCAATTAATTTCTCACAATCTGATTGCCGAACGGTAGTCACAAGGCATCGGCCTTGTATCACGTTTGAGACAAAATAGATTATGTTTCTAAAAGAAAAATAACATATAATTTGTTGATAAAAGAAAAAGTAACATACAATTTCTTTTTTGCTGCGTTGACCCGTAATGCTACGTCTTTCATCATAAAACTCCTAATTAAGCAAATAATATCTAGATATTTTGTAGCAAAGTATAAATTTGAATGTGCACTTAAACTTAATTAGTATTATTAACCACAAACCACATATATATGTACTATTATTCTTGTAAATTTTATGAATCAAGGAAAAGAATTAGACATCAGACCTAACCATTTAAATTCGTGCATGGTTCTCATTATTGAAAGAAGAAACTGAATTTAAAAAATAAAACAGATCTAATCTAGTCCAATAAGTATTAATTAATGTACATGCATGTGCTAGCTCTTACATATTAATTCACAACTACACCAAATATATGGTTGAAATACCCATGACATTGGGTAGTTTCAGGGGGTCGTTTTCTTTAAAAAGTATCCAATTGAATTATAAAAACATGTGTTGATATTAGAAGAAGCTACTATATATAATTGTTGCACTAGGTTGTGTACAGTACTATTCGGCAATAATTAATGAGATATTATTTTAATATGAAATGCAAATTTATTTACAGTGTTTTATTGTTCGTTAGAAATCAATAATACTAATTAAAAGTAAAAATCTAAAAAATGTACAATAATTTTAAGACAGATTAAGTATTTGACACTTTTTGAAACTATGTGTCCACTGAATGCATCTCTGCCTCCCCTGCTGAATGTGTGTCATGTGTTCTATTATCTCACTTGTTAAGTCGGACCCAATTAAACACATTTTTGTTTTTTAATTGGTACATAGGTTGAAGAGAAGCTGAAGGAGAGGCAGGAAGAAGCTATACGGTTGAAACAGGAAGCGGAGAGACTTACAAACGAGCTTAATGAGCGCACTAAACAGCAGCAAAGTTCCAATACAGAAACTCCAAGCGCGAGGCGAGGGTGTGTTGTGTTGTGATCAATATGCAGAACTCCCTCTCGTACCAAAAGAAATTAACAGTTCACTTTGTTGTTTTATTTTAGTTTAACAAAATGAACTGTCTTTCTGGACGAAGGGAGTTAATCCATTTCATCGTCTGGTATATATTTATGTTGGAAATGAGTAGTAGTGAATGAGAATTAAGTTTCTCAAGAGTTAAAAAAATTAGAGTTAAAGCTAAGGGACTTTGTGCCATATGGGTGTTGGGAAGAGTTAGAGCTCACTTTATAAGTGAGAGCCCAAAATTGACTTGCAAGTTGACTTGCCAATACTATACCACATCTCTCCCGCTCGCGTGTGCCCACGCAGTGGGATGCAAATGGAGGTCCGGTTCGGGGCAAAAATAACCTGACTCATGTGTGCGCATGACCTGCGGACACGAATGTCGAACCGAAAAAGAGGATATGTAACGTTTATATTAATTCGGTGGAATAAATTTAGACATTGAATAGCCAAATAAATTGTTGGCTTTAATTCTTTTGAATGAAAAAACGTTTTCAGATTCATTTGAATTTAAAAGGCCAGAATTATTTGACTATTTCAGCCTTGAATGAGAAAAATAAGGTGGTCTGAATGCATGAAACGTTGGAACGTTTTCCAGGCCATAAATCTGCGAATTGAAGTGCACTTTAATGGTAAATAAAACCGCTTGAAGTCTTCAGTAGCTCAAGGTTCTTCTCCAGCCAATAAATAGGCACTCATTTTCTAAAGTTTTACACACCTTTCCTCCCATCTCTTCTCAGCTTTTTTTCGAGCCTTCTTTCATTTCTTTTCCCGGTGTTCATCGCTTGTTCTAAGTTCCAGTTTGATGGTAGAGTTGCTTTGTGCTAAGCAGGCTGTACATTTTTGTTGTATCCCGGGAAACAGTTGCTCGAGATCCTCAAGGACCTTAGGAGGGGCAAATCTGTTTTAAGGAGATCTTATTTTCACGAGTCTCGGATTTTTCCTATTCGAATTTTCTTTAGCCTTTGCGAATACTCTTCGTATTTTTTCAACAATCTTAAAACAAACTTTTTTTTTGATTTTGTGTATTCGTGATGGCTGATGTTGTTGGTGCTGCTGTTCCTAGCGCCACTCCGGCTGCTGTTGTACCCGGCGTTGCCATTGCTTCCGGGGTTGCGACCTATGTTGTTGTTCCCGCTATGCCCAACGTTCCAGCTAGCCACGTGGAGAAGCTGGAAAAGTTCAATGGGACGACTGCGACTTTCAAGAGGTGGCAACAAAAAGATGCTATTCTACCTGACGACGCTGAACTTGGCGAGCTTTCTGACGGGTGTTGCTCCTCCGTTGCCTGAAGGTACTTCGGACGCACCAACGGTCCATGCCTATGAGGCTTGGAAACGATCAGATTTTCTTTGTCGTGGTTATATTTTGAATGCTATTCATGATTCATTATATAATATATATGAAAAGTTTAAAACGGCTAAGGATTTATGGAAATTTATGGACCGGAAACATAAATCGGAGGATGCCGGCTAGAAAAAATTCGTAGTTGGACGATTCCTTGATTATGTAATAGTTGATTCCAAGACTGTGGATAGTCAAGTTCAAGAGATCCAGTTGATTCTGCACGACATCCAGGCTGAGGGGATGATCTTTAGTGACACCTTCCAAGTGGTTGCGGTCATTGAAAAGTTGCCTCTGGGCTAGAGGGATTTCAAGAACTACCTCCAAGACAAGCGCAAGGAGATGTCTTTGGAGGATCTGATTGTTAGACTTCGCATTGAAGAAGACAACAGAAAGTCGGAATCAAAGGCATCTAATGGCGTACAAGCTAAGGTCAATATTGTAGAGCATGGTAAAGGCCAAGGCTGAAGAACAAGGCCAAGAGCAAGAACGTCAACAAAGGCAAGGGGAAGCTAGGGACTACTGGTGGTGTCTCTAAGCAGAAGCACAGATTCAAAGGTAATTGTTTTAATTGTGCCAAATCAGGTCACAGGTGTGCTGATTGCCGTTCCCCAAAGAAGGATCATGAGGCGAACATGGTCAAAGACATCACTAAGGATGTGGAGGACATGCACCTGTTCACTGTGGTGATCCAAGTGAACATGGTGGAATCCAACCCAAAGGAATGGTGGATGGACACTGGCACGTCCAGGACGTGTGCACTCATAGGAGCCACTTCACCATCTTTGAACCAGCCCATGGAGAGAAGATCTACATGGGAAATGTTGTTGTTGCCACTGTTGAAGGCAAAGGAACTGTGAAGCTCAAAATGACTTCGGGTAAGACTCTGACACTCACAGATGTGTTGTATGTGGCAAAAGTACGCAAGAACCTTGTGGCAGGATTCATGCTAGACAAGAATGGGTTTCGCATTGTAATAGAGTCTAATAAGGTTGTTTTGTCTAAGGCAGGAATGTTTGTTGGGAAGGGGTATGCAACCAATGGGTTGTTCAAACTCAATGTAATGACTATTGTCGATAAAATAAATGCAAGTACCTCTTCTAATTATTTGATTGAGTCTTCCAATTTATGGCATGGTAGACCAGGGCATGTTAATTCTGATTTGATGTGTCGATTAATTAACTTGAACCATATACCAACATTCCTAATTGACTTGGGAAATAAATGCAAAATTTGCGTCGAAGCGAAATTAACGAGGTCATCCTTTCAAACGGTTGAAAGGAGTACTGAACCACTTGATTTGGTTCACACTGAAGTTTGTGATTTGAAATCGGTTCAAACACGTAGTGGTAATAAGTATTTTATCACATTTATTGATGGTAGCACGTAATATTGCTATGTTTACTTGTTAAAAAATAAAGACGGAGCATTAGAGAAATTTGTTCTCTACAAAACCGAAGTTGAAAATCAACTTGGTAAAAAGATCAAGAGATTAAGAAGTGATAGAGGTGGCGAGTATGAAGCACCGATTGGTGGCTTTTGTGCACAACATGGAATTGTTCATGAAGTGACAGCACCTTATTCACCTCAATCTAATGGAGCTGTTGAACGTAAAAATCGCACTTTGAAAGAAATGATGAATGCGATGTTGTTAAGTTCAGGCCTACCTCCCAATATGTGGGGAGAAGCCATCTTGTCTAGTAATCACCTTTTAAATAGGGTTCCTCGAAAGAAAGAAGACAAGACTCCATATGAGTTATGGAAAGGAAACAGACCATCCTACAAACACTTGCGAGTGTGGGGGTGTCTGGAAAAGGTAGTTGTACCTCCGCCAAAGGCAATAAAAATTGGACCTAAAACGGTCGATTGTATTTTTATTGGCTATACACAGAATAGTAATACATATCGGTTCTTAGTGCATGATTCGAAGATTTCATATATACACAAGTACACAGTTTTGAAATCAAGAAATGCATCTTTCTTTGAAAATGAGTTTCCTTACAGGACTAAGGATGAAGACAGTTCATCAAAACAAACTCATGAAGAAGTTCATGATTCGGTTGAGGTTCAAGATGTTGAACCAAGACGGAGCAAAAGGGCAAGGGTAGAGAAATCATTCGGTGATGATTTTGTAACCTATTTGCTAGAGAGAGAACCTCTAACTTACGCTGAGACAGTAAGTTCTTCTGAGGGACCTTTATGGGAAGAAGCCATAAAGAGTAAGGTTGATTCAATTTTACAGAATCATACTTGGAAGCTTGTTGATCACCCACCTGGACAGAAACCATTAGGATCTAAATAGATCTTTAAGAGGAAAATGAAACCTGATGGTTCCGTTGATAAATACAAGGCCAGGCTTGTAATCAAAGGGTATAAACAACGAGAAGGTTTAGACTACTTTGATACGTATTCTCCTGTGATGAGAATAAATTCTATAAGGATGATACTTGCTATCGCAGCCTTAAGGAATTTGGAAATACATCAAATGGATGTTAAAACAGCTTTCTTAAATGTAGATTTAGATGAAGAAATCTATATAAAATAACCTAAGGGTTTCCGATCTCCAGGAACAGAAAAGAAAGTTTGTAAACTAGTAAAGTCCATGTATGGTCTAAAGCAAGCACCTAAAAAGTGGCATGAAAAATTTGACCATGCAATGATTACTAGTGGATTCAAAATTAATGAGTGTGACAAATGTGTTTATGTCAAGAATATAGAAAACGATTATGCCATATTATGTCTATATGTAGACGATAAACTCATTGTTGGTAGTAGTGACAAGTTGATCAAATCTACCAAGAACATGTTAAACTCTAAGTTTGACATGAAAGACATGGGTCTAGCTGATGTGATTTTAGGTGTTAAAATCATAAGGACAACTGGTCTAGTTTTGAGTCAAACTCATTACATAGATAAAATTCTTGATAAGTTTAACAAGAATGATTCTGGGGTCGCGAAAACACCATTAGATAACAGTGTCTATTTATCCAAGAATCGTGGACAGAGTATATCTCAGGTGGAATACTCTCGGATAATAGGAACTCTGATGTATCTAATGAGTTGTACGAGACCAGATATTGCTTATGTGGTAAGCAAGTTGAGTTCATACACGAGTAATCCCAGTGCTGAACAGTGGACTGCTATAATTTGAGTACTTAGGTATCTAAGACATACCCGTGATTATGGACTGCATTATACCAGATATCCATCTGTGTTGGAAGGTTACACGGATGCCAATTGGATATCTGATATAAAGGACTCACACCGCACAAGTGGCTATGTGTTTACACTAGCTGGAGCAGCTGTGTCGTGGAAATCCTCAGAACAAATTGTAATAGCCAGATCCACAATGGAATCCGAGTTCATTATCTTGGATAAGTGTGGTGAGGAGGCTGAATGGCTATGCCATTTTTTGGAGGATATTCCAAAGTGGAAAAACCTGTGCCACCTATCAGTATTCATTGTGATAGTCAATCGGCGATTTGAAGGGCACATAGTACTATGTATAATGGTAAGTCGAAACATATTCGTCGTCGACACAATACCATTAGACAACTCCTCTTAGAAGGAATTATCACAATTGACTACGTGAAGTCAAAGGATAATCTTGCAGATCCGCTAACCAAAGGGTTGAATAGAGAGGCAGTTGAAAGATTGACCAAAAGAACGGGTATAAAGCATGCAAAGAAATGAAAGTATTAAGAAGGAAAACCCAACCTAGTTGACTGGAGATCCCAAGATCTAGGTTCAATGGGACAACCTAATCATAAGACTTAGTGTGGTCACTGTGGGGGGTAAAACTCAACTCATTCCCGTCATCAAACAGTGATATGACGGAAAGGATAGCAAAGGGTTGCTTTAATGATACTTTAAGTGAGTATTTTCATTTACTCTAGACTTAAGAAGTCACCCATGTGAGAGAGAAGTGCGGCCTCTTCAAAGGAGAACTGTTAAGGCTCAATTCTTTAGAAACTCTTGCAGAACCAGGACGTGTTCATGGCGAAAATGGACAAAACCATGAGAACGTAACTACATAGAAATGGTTCCTGTGTACGGTATGTGGGTTTCTTTACACAATAGACCCGGACAGTTCAAGGACATCGTGTCTACTGGACAGCTAGTAAGGTAAACATACTTTACAAGGAGAAAGTTCAAAGGGTAAAACCTACTTTCTCTATGCAGGGATCAGTTGGTGAACACCATCATCATTTATTCGAAACAATATCTCATTCATGTGGGGGATTGTTGGAAATAAGTAGTAGTGGATGAGAATTAAGTTTCTCAAGAGTTGAAAAAATTAGAGTTAAGGCTAAGGGACTTTGTCCCACATGGGTGTCGGGAAGAGTTAGAGCTCACTTTATAAGTGAGAGCCCAAAATTGACTTGTAAGTTGATTTGCCAATACTATACCACATCTCTCCCGCTCGCGTGCACCTGCACAGGGGGTTGCAAATGGAGGTCCGATTCGGGGCAAAAATAGTCTGACTCATGTTTGCGCACGACCTACGGACACGAATGCCGAACCGAACTCTCGCGGGCCTGATCAATCTACATTTTGCTCCGGTTCGAATTAAATTTTTCCAGTCAAAATGGAGAAGAGGATATGTAACGTTTAAATTAATTCGGTGGAATAAATTTAGACGTTTAATAGCCAAATAAATTTAGACGTTTAATAGTCAAATAAATTACTGGCTTTAATTCTTTTGAATGAAAAAACATTTGCAGATTCATTTGAATTTAAAAGGCCAGAATTATTTGACTAGTTCAGCCTTGAATGAGAAGAATAAGGTGGTCTGAATGCATGAAACGTTGGAACGTTTTCCAGGCCATAAATCTGCGAATTGAACTGCACTTTAATGGTAAATAAAACCGCTTGAAGTCTTCAGCAGTTCAAGGTTCTTCTCCAGCCTATAAATAGGCACTCATTTTCCAAAGTTTTACACACCTTTTCTCCCATCTCTTCTCAGCTTTCTTTCGAGCCTTCTTTCATTTCTTTTCCCGATGTTCATCACTTGTTCTAAGTTACAGTTCGATTGTAGAGTTGCTTTGTGCTAAGCAGTCTCTATATTTCCGTTGTATCCTGAGAAACAGTTGCTTGAGATCCTTAAGCACCTTAGGAGAGGGCAAATTTTTTTCACGAATTTGGGTTTTTTTTCTATTCTAATTTTCCTTAGTTTTTGCGAATACTCTTCGTATTTTTCCAACAATCTTAAAACAGACTTTTTTTTTTATTTGATATAGAAGAAAAAGGATTTCTGCTCCATTGATTTGAAGAATTTTGTTTTGAGGAGAATTGATTCTTGTTGAAAGTTTCTTAATTTGATGGCTTCGAGAGTTGTTGGGCAATAGAACAGAGCCCAGGGAGCAGTTCCTAAAGCTGGGATTAAGCGGAAGAACATGGCGGCGGCCCAAGGAGGGAGAAATCTTCGAGCATTTGGAGATATTGTTCGTTATAATATTTTCAAATCAAATCATTGATTCAAGTTTCTTGAACTTAGAGGTGGTTATACATTTTTTTGGAAGATGGATCTGTCATGGCTCATGAGTGTAATGACTGC